CTAGCGCCTAGCGTTTTTTAGAACCTTGCTAGTAAAAGGTGATAAGTTAGGACTGAATAGCTTATGAATCCCCAATGCTAGATGTGCCACCATTTCTTTTTTCTAGAACATATAAAAATCAAGAACTCATTCGAAAATAAGAAAGTATGCAACAAAACAAGAGAAAAAACAAAAACAAAGTAATGAAAAGTAAATATTCATACATGTTTCAAGTGCTTCATAAAACTCTATATCTTTCAAGATTGTCTCATCGTCTAAATGAGCACGCCAAATTGGCGGTGTCCCAAACCTAAAATTTGTCCCCAAGTGTTTTACCTTCCCACATGTCAATGTGCCTTTGACATTTTCCAATAATATACGATAACAACCAGTTTGCATAGTTAATGTAGGTAATTATATTGCAGAATACATATGTTTCGGTGAAGTCGGTGACCCAAAAGAGCAATCAGCTTTAGAATAGTATGCATAAGATGTACATGTATATATGCAAAGTGCATATGCACAGATGACCCAGAAACGCACATCCTTACAATTTCACCAAGTATTTTTAGCATCTGCATTGACACTATCAATAAGGATTTTTCCCTAATATTTTAAGCATCGCAATATTTTCTTCCTCAATTTGGACTGCTGTAATGATGACCAGAGATGCTTGTAACATCCATTTATTTTAACTCCTTCATCATGGTTATCTTTTTCAAACAGTTCCACTAGATTGTAATTTTATTACATCTTCAAATATATAAGAACAAATGAATTAGTTCTGGAATCATATTCAAGTGTATGGTAACAAAACAAGGAGAGTTAAAAACAAAGAAAAAACAAGACTTTGAAAGTTATGGTACCTCAATCTAGTGGTTCATCAAGTAAACCATGTGAGTGAATCCAAAGGTGTAGAGATTTTGTATATTTAGTGCAAAGGATACAAGTGGGTGATGAACTAAGTAGAACTTATGTTTCCTCTGTTTCTAAATTAGACACCGACAAGGAATCCATCTGCAAGACGAGAGTCAAGGACTCAATTAGACAGTGTTAATCACATATATATATAGCGCAGGTAAAAGAGAATGAACAACCAGTGGAACTCAACCATGTTCCTAATCTCAAATATGAGAATAGATAGAGAAAATACCAAGGAGGGAGGACGGACTAACGGAGGATGAAGTGTTGTGAGTTGTCGCGAAGGAAGGATGATGAGGGCCGTCGCAGTTAAGGTTGTGGGCTGAATCGCTTATTTTTTGGATGAGAGGTCGTGAGTGGGTGGTCGCCGGTCGGCTGTGTGAAATGGGGGAATTAGGAATGGGGTGTGAGTGAAGCTGTGTGTGTGAGTGAGGTGAGGGTGAGGTAAGTGAGAGTGAACCCTAATTGGGATGGGATCCACTACTTTGCAATTTGGTGAAACCAATTTTTCAACCTATTATACCATCACATGTGTGTGTGTGTGTGTATATATAATTTATTTATTTATTATTAATAAAACGGTTTGGTTCAGTTCCGGCCGATTCTTGGTCATTCGAAACCAGAACCGGAACCGGCTTGAACGGTCCGGTTTGGTTTTTAAGTCGAAGTTGACTTTTCAGGTCAACACGGTTATTTTCGATTTTTTTTCATATGATTCGGTGCGACTTTGCGGTTTAGCGGTTTTTATGCCCACCTGGCTCAAACCCCCTATTGGAAAGGGCAGTCACACATCATCAAAGATCGCATTGTTAGAGAAGACTTAATTATATATATGTATGTATGTATGTATGTATGTATGTTTGTATGTATGTATGTATATAAGCACTGAATAATATGTAATTTTTTAAAAGAAGAATGAATATGTATAATGTGACTGTTAATATTTATGTTGGTGTGATACAAAATATGGTTGGTCTTAAATAAAAATAAATAAATAAAATAAAAAACAAAGAAATAAGTTTAATAAAATATGATGCTACTTAGTACTAAGATCTAATGATATTTCTTGTCACTTGTAAATAAGTAGTTTTAGGTTTGATTTTTACCAAAGACAAATTTGAACTATATTATTGTTAACCCATTATAAGGCTGAACCCACCTCCCTGCATTTAAGATAGATAAAATCGTTTGTTCGTAATTTTAATACAATATGGTTGGGTCTTAAAATGTGGTGGAATACAAATTAATCGTTAAAAAAAATAATAAGGATAATAAAGCAAGTTTGAAGATGGTGGCCAGGGATCTGCTGTTCTGAACTTTGTGCCTCCTGCCATGTCTCCTTCTAATTATGTCATTTAACTTAACTCCCAATTTAACGGTGTCAACTTTTCTTAATTAATACTAGCATATGGGCACACACAAAATGTGTGAGAAAATTTTTTATTTTTGTTTTTGAAATAGAAGGAGAGATGAAGAGAGTGATAGAGAATATGAGAGTGAGAAGTTTTTTTTCTTTTAATTTTTTTTTATTAGAGATATGTTAAGATTACATGTAGGTGAGGTTTTGAAAAAAAAAATAGCAAAATTTAAACATTTTGTTTTTGCCCACTCACCCTTCTGTTTTGCGCCCCTCCAGGTCCTATGTAGCTGTACATCTTGGTGGCTCACGAGGACTTCTCTGCGGTTTTGACGATCTACTAAATAAGTGTAGGAATCTTTCTCCCTGTTTTGTATAACTAGCACTGAGTTGGTTTGACCGAACTGTTTTTATTTATCACTTTCACACAATTACTTATTATCACTAGATAAATTAGTTTAGGTTGGTTTTTATTTATTCGCATTTACCTATTACTATATCACTTCTGTTGCGCACTTGGCTATGTCACCCTCACGTGACGGCCAACACATCGCGACTTTGGTCGAGGTCTGTCATTCTTTCAATTAGGTTTAAAATGGTGTAATTATAATTTTATTGGTTTTTGGTTGACAAACAGAGTTTAGATTTGCTCATTCACTTATTTTTTTTTTGGCACTTTAAAAAAAAAAAAAAAATTCAACACTTGCATCAGCAATCAACGTAGGATGATTTGTAGCCTTTGTAATTTTTAGAGTCAATATTTTGACATGCCCAAAGTAACACATTGCTAAAAAAAATAGAAAAAAATATATTCTCCAATTTTCCAAAAAAAAAAATAGAAAAAAAAATGAGAAGACATATTATTAGATTGAAAACCAATGACAAACTGTCCTTTATGAACATTTATTGACGACTTAGTACTGGTTTGGTATTGAGGTGCTTTTATAAAAAGTGGGTATAAAAAAATGCTAAGCTAAAAAAGATGTTTGGTAAACACTTAAAAACAATTTATTTTTACAGTTTTGGGTTAAAAAAAGCTGAAAATGTGAAGCAGCAAAAATGAGCTTATTCTCATACCACAACAGAAGTAATTTTTTTTCAAAGCACAACAATACCAAACCAGCCCTTAATCAAACCAATATAAGCAAAGATGTTAAAAGCATTATTTGAACTCACTCAATTTATGGCATACTCCAAAACAATGACAAATAGGCCAAAAGTGCTTTGAGACCAGACAACATCCATCGCTAATGTTCCCCACATGCTCATTTTTTATTAAACAAAATAAAAACTGTAATGCTACACTTACCATGTAATTGTACCATTATTTGTACTATTTTTCTAATGGAGGTAGAGCCCTCTAACGCATGTGGGTCCTGTCCCTATTAGAGAGATGATACAAATAGGTGGCAAGAGTAGTATTTTTGAAACAAAAACAATTTGGAGATTAATAGATTTTTTTTATTGTTGGAGAAATAATTAATATTTCTTTTTTGTTTGGAGAAATAATTAAGGGAACATTTTTGCTTACCACCATAAACTATGGTGTATGCTCATCATACACCTAATTATCCGTCACGTGTCATTTTACTTAGCCTTGGTTAAATATTTTCAAAATTGATAACATAAAAAATAAAATTTTCCACCACTTATATAATAACACGTGGTATATCATTTGTGTTACGGGCACAAGAAAAAATTTCTCCAATCTGACACCCAAGCTCAAGAAATTGGATGGAGAGCTACATTTATTATTGTAGCTATGTGAAAAAAGTGAGGAAATTTTAATTTGGTAATTGAAAACAGCTTTTTAAATATAATTACTGAGAACATAATCTTCTCAAGGTTTTGATCTAAAGAGTCACTTCTGGGTTCATCGTTTTCGGCACAATGGGTGCTTTTACAGGACCAAAAAGGATCTAAGTTTCAAACCTTGTGAAACTTTACCAAGAGTAAACACTATTTATAAAACTTCACCAATAAGTAGACACTATTCATGAAACTGAACCAATAAGTAGACACTATTTATGAAACGAAAAGAAGAATTAGGCATTATTTCCAAAACTAAACCAATAGGTGAAAACTATTTATGAAACTGGACTATACACTATTTATGAAACTAGAGTAAGAACTAGACAATATTTATGAAACATGACCAAGAATTAAGCACTATTTATGAAAGTGGACCAATAATCGACACTATTTATGAAACCAGACTAAGAAAGAGACACTATTAATGAAACTGTACTAATTACTATACATTATTTATAAACTTGGACCCAATAACTAAGCATTATTTACGAAACGTGACAAAGAACTAGACACTATTTATGAAAGTGGAAAAAAAAAACTAGGCACTATTTATGAAATAGGACCCAATAAATAGTATAGTACCGTTCAGTTTCATAAACAGTGTATAGGTTCCTGGGCGAGCGTTAGGTTATTTTTTATTTTATTTTATTCTTTAAATTGTGTCATTTTCATTAAAATTATGTTTTTTTTTTGTCCTTTTTATTAAAATTTCATTCTTTTTCATTAAATAAAATTATAACATGATTTCTGGTTAAAATAAACTTAGCACAAGCCTTTTTTATGAAAATTCTCTTAATAAAATGCATGAAAGGGGCCCACACTTGGTTTGTCCCACTAATTGCTTGTATCGTGGCAACAAGGATAGCACAGAGAAGCCAAAACCGGTCCAGGACGGTTACACACATACGGCCCAACGGTTAACGAACTAACCAAGCTCAGATAACACATATTTTGATAGAAAAGAGAGAAAATTCAAAACAGAATTAAAACAGCTGACCAAAATCGATAACAAAATTATAGAACGAAACAAAAATCCCAGGTTAGTCTTTCTTCTTCGTCGTCGTCGTCGTCGTCTTCTTCTTATTCTCTCTGTAACTCCGTAAGCAATTTCTGAAAGCTCGGCAAACCAGACAAAACCCTATCAGCCAGGGTCCACGCTCGTCCTTGCTTGGCGCTGAAGCTTTGAATTTTCAAGGGATTTGACTCGGATTTTGCGGTAATTTGATTTTGGTTGGAGTTTCGTTGTGCTTTTAGTGGATTAGGGTTGGGATTCTAGGGTTTCCGGGAGCAAAGATGAAGGCCTTGAATAGCATAGAGGATCTGATCGAGGAGATTAAGCTTCGAGTGGTTTGGTGGGCCCTGTTTGTCTTCTGTGTTGCATACTTTCTTTCCTGTAAGTGCTCCAATTTAATAGAAATTTGGGTTTCTGGATTCTGTGTTTATATTTTTCTACAAATTTGATGTAATTTATGAAATTTGATGCTTTCTCGAGAAGGGAGGGGGAGGAGTTTGATGATTTCTGATTGTATGGAAGTTGTGTGGTTCAAAAAGATGATAGCTTTTTGTTCCAATAATTAGGAATCAGTTAGTTTCGCTTCGAAGAGAAAAAAATTAAGTGAAAATGCATTGATTTTGGTTATATTTTTCCTGATTTCTTCAACATGTATATAGTAAACTTAGCGAACTCAATGTGGTTGGTTTTTCATTCTCAGAAGCGTTTTTCCTGACTCCATTTCTTTTGTCCTTCATTGCAGATTCGAGTAAATCAATGTGGATGAATTTACCCGTATCAATTTTATTGGTTTCGATGCTACGTATTCTAATGAATAACGTGGAATTCCGTTGGAAGAGTCAAAAACTTGTTCGTCCACAGTCATATTTGTCTCATTTGGAGAAGAAACAGTTGTCATTGAATGATCCACGACTCTCTACTGGGGCTCCACCACCAAAATGGAAAAGGAAAATTGGTTCTCCAATCGTAGAGGATGCGGTTAAAGATTTCATTGACAAACTTTTGAAGGATTTTGTGATTGATTTGTGGTATTCAGATATTACTCCGGACAAGGAGGCGCCAGAGCAGATACGCGCGATAATCATGGATGCTCTGGGTGAAGTATCCGGAAGAGTTAAAGAGATAAACCTTGTTGACTTGCTAACAAGGTACCCCTTCTGTTTCTTGTAGAAGTGAACCATTTGCAGGTTGTTATGAAGCTTTTATCGTTAAAGCAACATAATTAATGGTTGTTTTATGTTTCAGGGATATTATTGATTTAATAGGGGATCATATAGAACTTTTTAGAAAAAACCAAGCTGCTATAGGTGTTGATGTTATGAAAACGTTGTCTTCAGAGGAGAGAGATGAAAGGTTAAAACATCATCTCATGGCTTCGAAGGAGCTCCATCCTGCATTGATTTCACCCGAGAGCGAGTACAAGGTGTGAGTGGATTGTTCTAACAGAAATTAGTTTTGTTTTTGGATTTTATCTCTTGCATATGTCTTCCATAGGCTGATGTTTATATATTCAATAGGTTCTTCAGCGGCTAATGGGTGGGGTATTAGCTGTGGTGCTAAGACCACGAGAAGCACAATGTCCAGTGGTTAGATCTATTGCCAGAGAACTTCTAACAAGCTTAGTAATTCAACCTGTTTTGAATTTTGCAAGCCCTGGGTATGTTATATTATATTTATGATCGAGTTATCATTCTTTTGTTGTGTTTTATTATTATTTTTTCCTAGAGGGTGTTAAATTCTTTTAAAGGGATTGTCAAGCATCGAACTGACCTTTTGTATCTAGCATTTAGTATCTATTGAGACGATGGCCTGGGTTAATCCTTATTTCTTGTCCTGGTTTTTCAAAATATGTTACAAAACTGTGGTACAAATCTTGTAGTGTAATATTATTGTTGTTATTATTCTCCGAATCTATTTATGTAATTGTTTAGAGCTTACGGAACATGTGCATACCAATGGTTGTGCATGCGCAGAAACATTGTAATAATGAAATTCGCCATCAATTTAATTGGATGAAATGTTACATATGTTTACATTTATCTTCTCTCTGTTAAAGAAACGTAAGCCATTTTAACTTACAGTTTCTCTTTAATCAGGTATATCAACGAATTGATTGAACACATTTTGCTAGCCATTAAAGAGGAAATCAGTAAAGTGGTAAGTGGGGACCGATCAGCTGCAGGGGTTGTACATGATCAAGATTCTTCACTGAGGAAATATGCAACCTTTAACCAAAGCACTGTTATGACATTGGCTAAAGGTGACCATCAGAGAGAAGCGTATTCAGATTATAATAAATTCGAGGAAGATCCCTTGCAGTCACGGCCTGCTGATTGGGCACGAGTTTTAGAGGCTGCAACACAGAGAAGGACTGAAGTTCTTGCTCCTGAAAATCTTGAAAATATGTGGACAAAAGGGAGAAATTACAAAAAAAAAGAGCACACGAAAAAGATAAGAAGAGTTCAGGAACCTATATCTGAGTGTTCTGGAATAGATAGTGCTGTACCTGCTAAAAATCTGGGCAACGAAATGGTAGCCGACAGGCATGAAATTTCTACAGGAAAGGAAGATGGATCTATTGTGAAGCTGAGAAGTGAATTAAGTTTAGATACTCAATTAAGTGGTGGGACCAAAATGGAACTACACTTCTCTTTAGATCCCAGTGAAGAATCATATGCGGATCAAGGGCATCTTGTTAATAAATTGGAGGACATTGGAAACCTTGCTGCCGATGGAAATAAAAGTAGGCTTAAAAGATCAAATAGCACTTCTGCTTTGAAAATCCAGCCGGACACAAAAAGAACATTGACAGAAGGTGGAGGGTCTATCATATCAGAATTCTATAGCCCTGAGTTTGGCAGGCATAAAGAAGACCATATTAGTAAGAGTGCCTCCGATATGTTAGTCCACTGTGTGGGACAACAAGTTCCCAAGCTCAGGTGCCGGGTAAGCATTTTACATTTATGTAAATTTTAAAATGTTTAGTAGATATCGTAGGTTTTCATGATGCCAACCATTGCAGCTTCTTCAGTGCTGGAATATGTTGAATCACACGTTTTCTTTGAATCTGAGTTGACTTTTTGTTCAATATGTATGTCTATAGGTTATGGGAGCCTACTTTGAGAAACTTGGGTCAAAATCTTTTGCAGTTTATTCAATTGCAGTTACAGATTCGGAAAACAGAACTTGGTTTGTGAAAAGAAGGTTTCATTCTCATCTATTTTTATTTTTTTCAATTTTCATTTTATTACGCAGAGTCACATGTCTGCACAACACATGCATGCACTCACTTTTACAAAAACAAATTACGGACACATAGTTGGTATACAGAATTCATCTTTGATGAGGATGTCCTCATTTAGAGAAAAGTAAGGACCAAATTATTGAGACCCCACCTTGCAGTGTAATCCCATGATGCAAACACGTACTTCCTATACAGAATCTTTTAGACCTTCGATCATCGTGTTCATTTCTGTATTCACAAGGAATACTGTCTTCGAATATTTGATTGACGACAATTAGATGGCTAAAGGGATTTATAATTGTTAATTTATCCTTGCTTGGATGGGTACCATTATTTGGTCCTTATTTTTTTATAAAGTGAAGGCATCCTCACTAGAGAAAGACGAGGGTCTGTTCTTACATAGGTTAAGAAAGTTCTTGAAGTCTCTATTTCTACTTGGTCCATATTCCAATTCCATATATGAATTTTTCTTGTTTATCCTTTGATTTTTTATTTTTTATTTCTCTCTACAGATATAGGAATTTTGAACGACTGCATCGCCATCTTAAAGACATTCCAAATTACACTTTACATCTACCACCCAAAAGAATATTCTCGTCAAGCACAGAGGATGCTTTTGTTCATCAGCGATGTATTCAGCTAGACAAATATCTACAGGTATGATGTAGGTTCTTCACTGTATTTTTTCTATCCCTCCCCCATTTCTCACTGTCTTTTCTCTTGTTGTTGCTTTAATTTGCTGTATTTTCCCAGGATCTGTTGTCAATAGCTAATGTTGCCGAACAACATGAAGTCTGGGATTTTTTAAGTGGTTCATCAAAGGTATGCATCTTCTTGACATAGAATTTTAGTGTAGATGATCGTCTCTCTCTCTCTCTCTCTCTCTCAGCAGTATCTTTTTTTCTTTTATGTTGCTTTTAGAATTACTCTTTTGGAAAATCTCCTTCAGTGATGAGAACTCTTGCAGGTATGTGGTTTTTTTTAATTTTTTTTTTTGCATACGACATTCTTATTTTTTGGGGTTGTCTCTTTTTACTCTCAAATTTGTACCCACTACAACCACATTCATATACACAATTCACACACCCACACCCATATTGTGGCTGGCAATGTAAGTTATCAACTAAATTTGATTCTTGATACAATATAATTATTTTTAGTTTTTGGATGCTCCCTGTCAATTTCTGCTAGTTGGATCAGAGATACAGAAATTTGTTCACCTTTTCTTTTTCAAACATTAAAAGTTATTGAATTAATTAATGATTGCCAGCTTGAGGCACATTAAGAAATTAAGCGACGTCCCAAAGAAAAAATATTGTTGACGAGTTATACCCAGTTACATTATGATAGATTGTTAGTAGTTAGTCCCAGTATAATAACTAAGTTGTGCTTTGATACACACACACACACACACACACACACACACATATATATATAGGACTTATAAAGCTGTGCATAATTTGAGAGAGAGGTATCGTGCTTTGTAATATATGGTTACTTAGGCCGCAAGGGTAATCTTGCTGAAAGGTGTTTCAAGTTATCTTGTGGAGGAAGGTTGGTAGTGGGAATTAGTGATCGAGTATAGAACGTAAATCAGGCTTTAATGGGGCTTAATCAGGAGGACTTTACATGGATGGAGATCTGAAGTGAACAATATTCTTTAGAAGGCAATTGTTCGAACTTTTTCTCTTCTATTAACTAGGAACAAAAGTCTCCATTACCAAAGTACAAATCAGAAAGCAATATATGACATATGTTAAAGAACTTCAACAAGGCATTTTCTAAGATTCCAAAAACCTTTGGTCAACACTCCAAAATGCTTATGGTCCTAGATCGTAATATTTGTGCTTGTTTTTTTTTAGCAGTTTTGTTAATACTATTGAGATTTCTCATATTTTCTTATTGCTTTGGAAATTTTTTAAGTTCATTAGTTATTTGATTCAAGCAGTCAACGTGGATGACGCTGTGGATGACATTGTACGCCAGTTCAAAGGGGTTTCAGATGGGTTAATGCGTAAGGTTGTTGGTTCTCCCACATCTGAGGCCTCGTCTTTATTTCCTGGATGGAACTTATCCGGGAATGCAGATGAGACAGGTGTCCTTGCTTTTAGCCAAAATACAGCAGAGTCAACAAATAGCTTTTCAGATAACGAGGAAGGTACCCTAGAAATTGGGTGGCATTCAGACAATGAATTGAACTATAAGGGTTATCCACCTCGGGTTGTACATACAAGGACCTTAGGTTTGGAGAAGAAAGCTGATTTAGTTGGCAAGGGTGGCTTTCTGGAGGATCCAATTGGAATGCCACCTGAGGTATTACTAATGTCATCCGAGTTCATTCTATTTAAGCATTATAGTCACTATCATGATACTTGATATCTGAATATACTTTAGTTGATTACAGTATGTAATTTCTTATTGATTCAAGTTTCTTTTGGTATGTAAGCCACTAGAGTGCTAATATTATTTGATAAGGCTGAATGTTAAGGTATAACATAGATCAGGTTAAAATCACCTTGAAGTATGCCGGAGTTGACTTAATTTGTTAGGAAAAAAGCTCCGGTTATATGCAATAGGATTGGCCTTATGTCTGACCTTTTTCATCACTCTCGATATCTTGTATCTCATTCTCCTATTTTCATCATCTCCTCTTCATGGCATGTTGCATTTTCCTTTTCACACAAGTTACTCATAGCTTCAATCATTTTATACCATGAATTATTTACTAGGTTTATTTTGTTATCCACTTTTTCACTTTGTTAATTTTTTTGAACAATGTTCTCTATGCAGACTTTGGATCCTCCTGTTTCCAGCTTAACACATTCTCTATCTTTGGTTAGAAAGTATAGGTCTCATTCTCCTATTTTAACACATTCTCTATCTTTGGTTATAATGTAAATAGCTAGGACACGTTTATACTGAATGAATATTAAATATACCAAGAAATTTAGCCCAGTAGATAACAGATTGAATCTAACAGCTAGACAAGTTTTTCACAGCTTGACCTGAATAATTAATCCAGTTCACCAAGATTCTCAAAGTTTCCAACCTTGAGATGGGTTCAACCATGCTCAAGGTTCTAACGGACGATTGCCCATGGAAATTCAGTATAAAGATGAAGTTAGAAATGCGATTCAGTAAATTTATATGGACATGTAAATCATAAGAAAATAATATCTTGACTAGTGAAAGTTGCTGTCAAAGTAATTGTGAATTGCATGTATTAATTTTAGATCTTTCAGTGAAAGCTACTGGTTTATCTGACGATCACAGTTATATTCAATATTTTTTTTAATTAAATATCACAGCTCTTTTTGGAGACATCTTTGATTCTCTCTGATATTGATCTTTACAACTTGTTTTCTTTCAGTGGACTCCACCCAATGTTAGCGTGCCTCTGTTGAATCTAGTGGACAAGGTATTTCAACTTAAGAGAAGGGGCTGGCTGAGGTGAGCTGTTCATACTTTGATGGTTTAGGGAATATCCTGATGATGCATGATTCTGTATTCATTATTGACTCAATTAATGCTTTTGATATTTTTTTAGTTTGCCTGATTGTACTTCAGGTATGTCATCGGCTCTTGTAACTGGATCTTGGATAAAAGATTAGGAACATGCATGATTGTTATCCAGTTTTTCGGCCATCCAGTCTGTTTTCTTGAAAATGTTGAAAGTAACCAACACCATCTGCCATCCGGGCAAAGTTTTTGTAGATTGGTTATTCGATGTGCCATTTCTCTTTATTGTGCTTATATTTATTTCGGTTGCTCATCTCACCCAATTATTTCCTCATTTATCGAATTTGTTCTTTGAAGTTAACGACTTTTTGCTTTCTTGTTAGTGTATGAACAATTTTCTATAATTCTTTAGTATGTTCTATTCCTGAGTTTGTTCTAGTTTGGTTCTTCTTTAATTTTACTTTTCTCTTTCTCTTTTATTCAATAACTATGGTTTGCTGAACGTATTATATTCTTTTCCCTGTGTATGTATGAGTAGCTGTTTATAGCTTTATAAGCTTATTTTCTTTATTCCTTTTAGTATGTGGACAATGTCCCAATTACGGGTGGAATTTTATATAAACAGTAGTGCTGGAACGTGTGTAATTAGATTAAATAACTGGTCTTTCACACATGCTTACTTTTGTCCATGCAGACGACAGGTCTTTTGGATGTCAAAACAAATATTGCAGTTAATGATGGACGATGCTATTGATGACTGGCTCATGAGGCAGATTCATTGGCTTCGAAGGGAGGATATTATTGCTTCGGGAATTTATTGGCTTAAAGATGTAAGGACTGAACCAATTATAAACATCTTCATTTTACTGAAAAAGAATAGACAACCTTAGTGGTGTAACGGTTCAAATCTTAAATGAATACTGCAATAGAATAGTTATACAAATCATTTGTTGGTGCTTATTTGTCTACCACATTATATCATGGTAACTGTGTTTCATATGTGAATGGAGTCGCCTTTTCTTGGGCATTCCTCAGTATGTTTCTGAAGGGGAGGGGTGAGGCCCGTTGGGTGATTCCGTTCTTCAAGTTCAGTCCCTGTGCAAAACTATGCCCCCACTATTAATTATTTATATTGTATTTTGGTTGTATGTGACGTAAGAACCTGACAGAAAATAAATCTATATTGCTTAAAGGGACTATTGCTGAGATTAAAAGACAACTCCTACTGAAAGTCCGTTTTTGTTTTAAATTTACCTACTGAAAGTCTGCACAAATCACACATAGAGGTGTTAATTTTTTTCTTTGTTTCTTTAGAATTGTCTTTCTCGAAGCTTGAAGACTTTTTGCTTACATTTGAAATGAGGGACATAATGTACTCTTGTTTGTTCAGTTTTAATTTCTGTGAATTCTGAGTTCTTAATCATCATCATAACTTTGGCATATCTTTCCTAGATTTCTTTTCAATGTATAATTATCCTTGCAGTCAAAGGGAAAAACAATATTTAGAAATTTGAAAGGAAAAGAGTTGCTTATTTTTGCTTTCTAATCATGTGTTTTTTCTGACAAAAAAAATAAAACCATGTGTTTTTTTTAGGGTCTATGGCCAAATGGCACATTCTTCCTTAGAGTCGGCAATGTTCAAGACGGCAATCAAAACCCTCTTCAAAATATAAGTCAATTTGGCGGCAGCAAGGCTGGTAAACAGGGGTCTTTTGAGCACCAGCTTGAGGCTGCTCGCAGAGCTAGTGATATCAAGAAAATGCTCTTTGGTGAGTAGTTGGCGTTATCTATTTTCTTGTTAGTGTTCCTGTGTTTTAGTTTGAAGTGGCTACCTTAGTCTTCCTGGTAATGTTACTGCCTTGTGTTTTTTTAGTCAAACATCTGTGTTCCAGAAGTTGGTACTTAATTTTTAGGCTCAAGTAAACTATTTTTCTGTGATTACATAATCAAAGGTAAGTACTATCTGTTTTTTTCTCTGTAACTTATTGTACTATATTTATTTTAAATAGCAGCCCCTTTGTACGCTTAAAACTTCGGATTATAAGAGTTGTATGGTTTGAGATTTCGACCCTGTTTTTTCAACTGAGAAATATTGGTGTTGCTTTTAGATGTAAATTTATCATCACTTTCCATGCGAAACTTACAATTTGACACAACTCATGAATCTTCTGTTACTTTCTCAGTATATACATACATACATGCATTTTTTCTGGCTTGATTCAGGTGTACATGCATTTTTCACCCACCCACACACACACAAACATATTTATAGTATTCCATGATTGTTCGACTAGTGTGAATACTATAGAATTATGTGTGTAATTAATTATCTAATAAATTCCTTTAACTAATAAATGAAAAACAACAAACTGATCCCCACTTTAACAGATGGAACTCCGGCGCCCTTGGTTAGCTTAATTGGGCATAAGCAGTACAGACGTTGTGCAAGAGACATCTATTATTTCATTCAGGTTAGTCTCTCATCCTCTTATATTGTCTGCTGAAATTTAGTTTGTCATTTCTTTCAAGCCAAACGTGTTGATTCCAAATTATTCTGGCGTGCAGTCTACCATCTGCATAAAGCAACTTGCTTACGCAATACTTGAACTGTCACTCGTTTCAATTTTTCCTGAGCTGCGGGATCTTATTGTTGATGTTCATGAAAAGATGGGTGTTGATCAAACTGTATAGTGGATCGATATATTTGTGTCATCCTTGCTCTTGATGGTAGCTGGTTATCTTCCCAATGATCACAAACCTCAAACACCGAGGTATATTTCAAGATACGCAAGACTCAATTTTCTCAGGCGTTGCCTGTAGTATTGGTTTTTGTAGAACTTCCAAAAATTCTTTTCGGAATGTGAGAAATAGTGGTGTTTTCACTTTCTCTCGCATTTCAACTGTACAAAATTGTAGTTGTAGGGTGTGTACAGGCGTCGTCTTCTTTGTGTATATTTTGTGTGTGAAGAAAATATGACCAGTGATGGTGCATTCATCATTACATAATGCAGCAGTGAGTATTGATCATTGAACTTGTCATTTTACGTTACTATTTAAGTAATCCAATTTTCACCCAACTGTCAACTACATCGAATATAAACAATATTAAAAACAAGGAACGCATCGAAATATAGTGTTTGTATTTTTTTTGGTCGATAGATATAGTGTTTGTATAACTATACTCCAACAACATCAGGAATGACATATAAAGTTGATCAGTCTTGTTATCAATAGATTCGACGAAGGACGACAAGAAGAACCGTAGACCCCTTGACAAGAAGACTCCGTATTGCCTGCTCAGTCCCAATTCCTTTGACACCCTTGTGCAACCCACAACAGTACTATTTGTTTCTGAGGGTGAAACAGAAGAATGAATGCAGGTGCTAAACAGAATGCAGCCACATTCATGTATGCGATTGCCTCTGTATTCACATTGCAATCAGGGAAGTGATTTGTTTCGCATTTGGCATCACTCCCGCCAACAACAGAATCTCAAAACCCCACTTCTCCAAAGTCCAAGCCGAAAGATAAAAACTGAAATGGAGACAAGATTGATAATTTGAAAATGGGACTAAGCAATACTGTTTTAATGATATATATATATATATATATGAGTGCTAAGGCTGCAATGTTTAGCAGCTGTGACCCTCATTCCTTCTTTCTCTACACTGATTTCTTGTTCTCTGTTTGCCAAATTTCTTGCACAGAAACACACAAAATAAAAACTTTAACATAGCGTCAAAGCCTAGGTTCGATTAAGAACAGCAAGGCATTTGTGAAAGCTGTTTTTCAGGGGACATTTTCAAGAACTTGAAACCCCAGAAACTGATTTAAGACTTCAAGGATGTTTAATGGAGAAAACTATGATTTTCGGAGGATAAGGATGACAACCATCTTCAAGTCCCACGTTCTCTGGAAAATGGTTCAAGATGGATATGAATTGTCAGAGTCGGATGATGAAACACAGGAAGAACTCTCAGTTGCTCAGAAAATCTCACTGAGAGAGAATGTGATGAGAGATGCCAAAGCTCTGGGAATAATGCAAGGAGCAGTTTCGGATGCAATTTTTCCCAGATATCAAACAAAGAAACAGCTGAAGCTGCTTGGTAAGTTCTGCAAAGAGAATGCAGAGGTGACGAGAAGGAGACTGAAGTAAAACTCCAATCTCTTAGACGTGATTTTGAAGATACACACATGAGAGAGGATGAACCCCTCAAATATTACTTTACTAGACTGTTTGATATTGTGAATCAAATGAAAACTCTTTTGGAAGAACTACCTAGGAGAGATTAGTACACACACTTTTAATTAGTTTGACAAGACCCTACGATTCAATAGTGAATATGATAGAAGAAACTAAAGACACAGACACACTTGATGCACAAGAAGTGATGGTTTCCCTGAAAACTTCTGAACAAAGACTAGAAAGGCATGTCGATGCAGCCACAGAAAGGGCTTTTCAGTCTCTCAGCACCAATCCTAGAGAGGCCAACTCAAACAATTAGTCTAGTAATTTCAAAGTGGATGTGAAAAGGAAAGGGTAAAAAGTGGGAAGAAATACCAAGCTTGCCTGCAAGAAACAATGGTGTTGTAAATAATAGTGTAGAAGGTACAAAACCTCTCTGCAAAATCTATGATAAAGTCATCTTGGTATTTGTTGGTTCAGGGGAAAAACCAAATATCACAAGTATAGCAGATTTGGTCATTTGTCCAAAAACTCTGGTTCTAAAGCAAGTCAACTCATGAACTATGCGCGCAAGGCTGAGGAGGAGACGAATGTGTTCTATGCCTGCAACATCACTACAATTGAGAAGAACAAGGATATGTGGTTCATTGATAGTGGGGGCAGCAATCACATGACTGCACATGAGTCTTTACTCATCAATATTGACAGAGACTTCCCTGGTAGAGTTAAAATGGGTAATGAACAACTTGTGAGAACCACTGGCAGAGGCACCTTGGTGATTGAAACAAAGAAAGGCAAGAGATACATAAAAGAAGTCATGTGATACCTGGACTTGATGAGAATTTGTTGAGTGTACGCCAAATGATACTGCATGGCTTCTTACTCTTTTGTGATTTAATGGTTGAAATCTTCGATGCCAGAAGCTTGGAAAACTTAGTCACTAGAGTTGAAATGACTGAAAATAGGAGCTTCCCACTGGTAGTAAGTTATCATAATTCTATCTCAGTGAGAGCAAGTGTCACAGAGACCACTTGGCTGTGGCATAGAAGATATGGTCTTTTAAATTTCCAAAGCTTGAGAGATCTAGAGAAAATAGAAATGGTTTAAGGAATACCAGAACTGCAAAAAGACATGGAAATTTGTGATAGACGTGCTTTAGGCAAGCACCACAGAGATGGCTTTGAGATAGGAATATCTTGGAGAGCTAGACAACCTTTTCAAAACATTTACACAAATATCTGTGGTCCAATACAAACTGCAATAGTCACTGGAAACAGATATGTCCTACCCTTCATAGGTGATCATTCTAGGATGTGTTGGGTATATTCATGAGGTATAGGTATGGGCTGTTCAACATTTTAAGAAGTAGATGAGTATTGTCAAGCCTCGATCTTGAGAAACCTCCAAGACCGACATGTGACGTCAGTACCTATTTAACTATTATGCCTCACTTCCGAGACATGATAAAAACAACCCAAGGCTTCAAAAGCGTAGTAACTTTTGCTTCATTTCATGGTTGCATCTAACCTTTATATTAGACTACATATGTACGCCAATACGAGATCAAGCCATTCATAGTTCACCCTTTGTTAAACTCTGACATTTCTTATGGTGCTTCGTAGCAAAAGAACATAGAGTTCTAGATTCACTCAATAGAACTCGACAAGCATGGTTCTAGACTAGTTGACGAAACCATTTAACAATCAGGATTGCCATTTCATCTTTCACATATATCACACTATTTTCCAATGACAATTTCATAACCACAACAAATAATCGATTCAATAAATCAAAGATGCACAAACATTTAACTATGTTAATCAACCATTAAGATCAAATATCATTTCACTAAGTTAAATAAACCTAAACTCCCCTAAGGCTTGCCGTAATTCTCTATCAGGATTCCAATTAATATCATTATAACCTTAAGTTACACACATAAGCGTAGCCTTGAGCAATTTCTACTCACAACAACCTAGGGTTCCATACCAACTCAACAAAACCAATAGGAAATGGGATTCCAAACCAATTCAACGGAATTGAATCAAAGATAGGGTTCCGAACTACTCAACGTAAACTAAATAGGGAAATGATTCTAGACCACTCAAAAGAATTGAACATGGAAAGGGATCCTGGTCCAGTCAACGAAATCGAACAAGATAGGTTTCAGACCACTGAATGGAACCGAATAGGGAAAGGGATTCCAGACCACTTAACATAATCCAATGAAGATAGGTTCCAAACCGCTCAACTGAATTCGAACAAAACAATGTTCCACTCAACATAACCGAATAGGGAAAGGGATCCCAGACCACTTAACGGAATCTGAATAGAATACGGTTCTGGACCACTCAATGGAACTGGATAGGAAAAGGAATTTGGACCACTCAATGGAATCTGAACATAACACGGTTCCAGACCGCTAAACGGAACCATGTAGAAATAGGGATTCTGAACCACTCAACAACGGAATCTAGGCAAAAGCGGAAGACGGTTCTTGACCACTCAACGGAACCGACTAGCATTCTAAAAACCTAAATTTGAACAACTCAAAGGAACTAGATAGAGTAGAGTTTGGTGTCACAACTCTCCATAACCATGGGTTAATAGTCCTTTACTAGCCCTCTCGTTTCACAAACATTTTAATTATCCATAGCAAAACACATTTATAAATTTTTGCACAAAGATCAAGGTGCTTATAGACAATTACCGCCTAAACAAAGTCCAAGTTCATCTTAGAATTCTATTGATAAGGCAAGTGTTATTGGCACTCCAAAAATCTCATTCTACACTCCTCACAAGTGTATTTTTCTTTTCTAATATAGAAATTTTGGAGTATAGAATGAGATTTTAGGAGTGCTAATAACAATTCTCATTGATAAAACACTTAATTCTAGGTTCTACACGTCAACTAAAACATTCAATAATGATTTTAGGATATATTGACCAAAAGTTTCAACTCTCAGTCAATGGTAGGGTCAACAACCCTACGTAATTCAATCTCGATGATCCGCACATTAAATTTATGATGCACAAGTTCCTAAGATCCTCCAATAATACACACAACAACTTAGTATAATTTCATGACGATCCAACGGTTGGAACTTCGTCTACCACGAAGGTCAAGTGAAGGACCTTTACGAAACTAGGCTTAAACAATGGAATTACGTCAAGTAGATGCCAAAAACAGCTTCAGGGCATCGAAAATAGCCTAAGAAGACAAAGTTGGTCATTGTGACCATGAGCCACCACCATGCGGCGACCGACAGCCACAACTCTCAGGAAACCGGCCAATACCAAAATTGACTCATAAGATGTAAAATGAAGCTGGTGAAGAGTACAACAATTTTTATACCTTTGCGGGAAAAACTACCTCGCATTTTTTCGTGACTCAAAAGTGTCCTCTTGTTAAACTATGTTCCGAGATGACATATTTCCTTGCAGGCAGAAAACTCTTGGTCATCATACACAGGGCTGGATGTGTTACTTGGTCCAAGGGCAGTTTTGTGGAGATTGCTTATACACGAGGTAAAGTTTTTCATAACTTACCTGTTGAAAGTAACACTTTTTTATGTTCCAATTCTTTCTTTAAACGTGCAATGAATGAAAAGATTGTACATGACAACTGACAAAAAGACCACATCAAGCACGTTAATAATATTTTGTCGGGGCATCTGCAACTGCAATTGCTGCCGTCAAGCGAAGGCTTGGGAACCCACTGGTAATTTTGTTTTTTTCCTTCAGTACATAGTTTTGGCACGGTGATTTTGGTACATAATGAAAACGAAAGACAAAGGCAACAAATTAGAATGAAGTAATGACTAAATTTGTTAACTTATCAGGTTGTAAAACTGGGTTACAAATCCCTTATCCATTAGAGCATGGAGGTTTTTGGATTCTAGGCCCTCTTTACTCGGGGAGTAGCAAGCAAGACGTCGCACATAGGTCTAACTATTTAGCGCCCAGAAACTGTGAACCGGTAAATATCTATCATACAAGCACTCAGACACCATTTGACGAAACACTTCGATACAACCACCACTTTCAAGCTTGCAAGCTTGAACCCATCACCACATATTCAGTTGCATTGTTACTGCAGAAGATTGGAGAATAGGGCATAGAGTGAGTACTTCCGAAGATTTTTCACCTCATACCAGGAGTTAAGAACTTGAAGATGCTTGTCTGTTCCTGAGAAGGTCAACTGTATGCTTAGGTTGCAGTCAAAAGATCCACCACTGCCTTGACATTTTGAATTTGGAACAGCACAATCTTCATCGTTGAGGCACACAGAATAGTCCCCGGAGCATGCCTTGCACCCGAATTTCTTCCAATACAAATTAAGAAGAGTCCCCCTTTCAAATTCAAGTACCTGCAAAACGAAACACAAGTTCAATGCTTGCTGATGCTGAGAGAGAGAGAGAGAGAGAGAGAGAGAGAGAGAGAGAGAGAGAGAGATTGTACCAAGGTGAAGCTTGTTATGGTGTGTGAGTCATCAGCAACCAATATTGGGGGTGATCTTGCTGCATACTTCCGTCCGGCAAAAGCTACCATGTACACACCAGCCTTGATCTGTAGAGGAATTTATGGAAAATCATCAAAATTAATTTGACTCGTGCAGGAGATAAAACTACCACATTCACTTTAGAGGCTATATGTATGTGTATATATATAGACACCATAAGGTGTCCCTCAAATAAAATTATGTAAGGGAACCCTCAATAGAAGGCGACTATATATGTAAATTTAGGGTTTCCAGTCTTTTCAACCTTTATAGAAGCAAGCAATATTTTACTTGAACCCAATCAAAATTGCAGGGAGGAAAATTCGAAGATTTTGACACCCCTCAGCAATTTCATAATCCATTTCCACAACCCTTATTTTAGGGCTACCATAAACCGGAAAAACTTTTCGATTCCAAACACACATATAATTACAAATTCAAAATTTGGTGTCCGATAAACTCCGAATGTGACAGAAAGCAGTTGAGATTTTTCTCAGCGCAACTATAGAAACATGAATTGTATCTCTGCTTCTGTAGCATGATCTTATAACAATAATTACCAATTAAACAAAATAAAAAGAAGCTACATATCTTAATTCTAACCAGATAATCAAGCTAAGTAGTTGGATTACACACCTGACTGAAGGTGCTGTTGTTGATGCTTAGGAAAGACATCTCATCAACTTTAGGCCTAAACACAGCAAGCTGGGCATCATTTCCGGTGAGCGAAAGCCGCTTGTCACACGGAGAAAGTTGAGTCTGATTAAAGAAGAACTTGTCTTTTTTTGAAAATGCAAGGCCAAAAGTAAACCCATCTAATCTCTGGATTTTTGCATCTGAGCATGGATCATAAACACTGTTTGTATCAGCTGCATCTCCAACAAATACATACATCGTCATCATTACCATCATCAATGGTGTGACCATGATCGTGTTCTTCTTCTTCTTCGCCATTGTTATCTTCCCCATGACGGTCAGATCTTGACCACCTTCACCAATTCAAATCGATTAAATGATGAAAATAACAGGAGGAATAATGTTGTAAAGAAATATCCATGACTTTTTCAAAGAAGGAAGACATTTGTGACGGTTAATACAACGTGCCTTGCTGTTTAATTATAGCACAGTGCTTCTAAGTCATTACACTGTTATCGTGAAAAATCCAGGATGAAAAAGACAAGAAAACTCCTAGAATTTTATATTTTTTATGGTTAACATCTGAATTTAAGATGCTTGAACACAATGATACCAAATAATGATACATTGTAAGATTCTCAAATAATAGCGGCCGAGTTGAGCCAGTTGATTAGAGCAATGTGCATGAATGTCTTTGCACCTTGAAATTCTCCTGAAAAGCATGCATGGATTACAACACTCAACAAATATATAAAAAGGACTAAATTATAAAACGTACCGATATGCATAATGGTGAAGAATGTTGTTCCAATGCCTCACAAAGTTTTGCAGCAACAATTGTAAGGAATTAAATGTGAAAAATAAACAAACATTCAAAAGTTCTCATAGGGGTTTCCACGAAGAACCTCGGATTGCGTTCCTTTGGAATTGTTTTCATTCGATACACGCCAAACGGTTATTTCGGCAGACTACCTGGATCTTGTCTAAGAAACGGTTATGGAAGTTTGGTAATGCGGCGCTGGCATACCAAAATTTAAAGAAAAAAAAAAGGGCAATTTCAAAATTTTCCCCTACAGTTTTGGGTTTTTCTTTCTTTCACTTTGGTCCTTCTTTATTTCATCCCAAGTTGGTGCTTGACTTTTTAACAAAGTATCTAATAAGAACAAAAGGCGACTTTTTTTTTTTTTGTTTTTTGATGGAACTAAAGGTGGCTTTGTTTACACAAGTTGGAACAAAAGGTGATCGACTTTTGATGGAACAAATGGCACGAATCACTTCTATATTCTTCTTGCTGATCAACAATAATTACAATATCAGGTAACCCCGTCATATATTTAATTCCGCCGATAGATGTTTGCAAATGAAATAATTGTCTCTTCAACACGGTCACTGATTCAGTAGCACAGGCTACAATAAAAGCTCGGTGTCATTATGTTAGTAAAAAATAGCTCGACGGCATGTTAACGAATTGGTACATATTTATGCTAAAAACAAACAAAATCAACCAACCAACCAACCTAAATATGCCAGTTTGGTATGAAGTTGTGTTTTATAACTGCCACTAAAACTGACTAAATTATATGATAACACGTTTCTAAATTCGAGTGGTCATTTCAGATTCACTAAACACTTTATCAACCCAGAACCCAATTATTTGTTTCATCCATCTCTTTCTCCCTCATCTCTCTTGTGGTTGGAGTAAACACTCACAGTTTGGTGCCGGTGTGAAAAGTTTCGTTGTTGATATAGTTGACACCGTACATGGTCAGTTCGCACGAAAACAACCGACTTGTAAGGTGCATGCCACTAATCATGTCAACTTTTTCGAACTTCAGGTGGGAGAAAATAGTTGGAGGATCAAAGTGGAACGAAAACTAAAATTGGACAAAATTTGTAATTAAGTCTAATAATAAGTAAATAATTGAATATATGTACTAAATAAACCTTAAAGTGATTTCCCACCCTCATTTTTTTTTTCTGCACCAGGTTCCCCTCTTTGTTTATTTTTTTCTAAGGCAATTTTTATCAATAACTTAATTTCAACGGCTTGAGAAAAATATGAGTTCATAAAGAGAAAAGAGAGTGAAAAAGTTACATCCCATACAAATAATGGATTTAACAATACTAGGAAGTGTGGTGAGTTTTTTTTTTTTTTTTTTTTTTTTTTTTTTTTGAGTACATCGATAGTTTTGAGGAGGGAGAGTTCGGCTAAACCACACAATGGGTAGTCTAATTTGGTATCGAATTCGTTATCCACGAGATTCGAACCTAAGACCTCTCACTTCCAAAGTAAGAGGAATACCACCAGACAGTAGTGTTGAGTGACAGGTAGTGTGGCGAGTTATTAATAATGGATTTAACAATAATGGGTAGTTTGGGAAGTTAATAGATTTTCCATTGTGATCGGTTCCCACTTTAACTCAAAATTTAGAAGCGGTACCTAAATCCGTTTTAGTTCATCTTTTTGAAGCATAGTGATAAACTTTCATTGATAAGAGAAGAGGTACAAAAGAACAGGCAATCCTCTGCTCAGAGTTACAGTCTTCAAACAAAACATCTACAATAAAGGGTGGTTCTTCAAACCATGAGCATGGGCTACTAGAAGAAAGACTGAACCAAACAAGGTGATGAGCGACTTCATTAGCTTGGCATCTGATATAGGTGAATAGAACTCTAGTGGTCCCTTTAGTATTCCACTGTAAGTCTAAGGAGAGACAAATCAATAGAAGAAGGTCTTAACGCTTGGGTGATCTGGAGCGAATTGCTCTTGAAAATAATATTCTGAAAATCCCTTGAAGACACCAAAGCTAAACCCTCTCTAACCGCTAAAGCCTTGTCGAAGAGGGGAGAAGAAACATGAGCAGACGATTTCGACAAACCAGCCACAAAATCACCATTTGAGTTCAGAACACCCGTTGCAACACCACCAACCAATTGCTCCGCATTCCTGGCGCCGTCCACATTTAATTTCAAAGACCCTGTCCCTGGCTTCACCCATCTCACAAGATGAGAAACCAGATCCTCACCAGCAGTGGGAGAAGAATTGAAATACAGTGGACCTTACGGTGGTTGGCTTCATTAATTTTAGTGAAGTGATAGTTGATCTTAATGGATCATTAATGTAGTTAAGTATTAATATGGTTGTTGATGCACAAAATCGGCGATGACTTTGGTACAACAGAAAGTGTCAAGTTTGTGACCTTCGCTAGGTTGCTCTAGTCATTAGTGTGGATAAGTATGTAAATGAATAGAGATAGGGAAGCAAATAACACAAGATGTACGTGGTTCACCCAGATTGGCTATGTCCACGGAATAGAGGAGTTCTCATTAGTTGTGAAGGGTTTACACAAATACATAAGTTCAAGCTCTCTTTTTGTGAGTTCTAGTGAATAGTTTAGTACAAAATGACATTAGGGATTATTGTGGGAGAATGATCCCTTTTTATAGAAGAGAGTTTCTAGTTTTGCTGTGACATTGACACGTGTCGTGTTGTGATTGGCCTCTGATACCGACACGTGTTGCACTGTGATTGGCCTCTGATACCGACACGTGTCGTGTTGTGATTGGCCTCCTAGTTGGAGGAAAAGTCTTGTGGGTTCTTGACGGTATGTTGTTGACCGGTGCTTTGTAGTTTCGGGATTGGTCAAGTATGGTACAAACAGTGTTCCCCTAAGTTCCCGAGTGAGGGAAGCTCCTCGGTTGAGGACTTGCAAGATCCGAGCCATTGAGTAATCACGAAACTTCCAAGTACCGAAGTGTGGTGTCGCCTTCACTTGCCTTTTCTATCCTGTAAGTAGATGTGGCATCTTCTCTTGGAAGTACTTTTCCTTCATCCAGGAGTGGTATCTTTGGTTGGCGTTGACGCACAAGGTAATGTATCATTTTCATTTGAAGCTTACTTGTAGTTTCGGGTTTGGTCAAGTGCGATACAAACCATATAGTAGGAGTCCCCCAAGTCTCTAAGCGAGGAGATCTGCCGAAGGAGGTGACAGACAAGGTAAGCAATCAAGGTTCCAAGCAATCAGTCTCAGATCAGTAGGTTGATCTTGGGTTTCGGCTGATTGTAATCATTCTCCCTGTCTCTCATTCAACAATAAGGATAAAGAGAAGAAACAGGGAGAAGAGATTGTTGGAAATATGCCCTGAAAGTCAATCTTTGGAAGAAACCTTTCAGGACAATGAATTGATGTATATATGACTCTTATACATCGGAAGGCAAAGATACTAATTGGGACTATCTCAATGAACGAAATATGTCCTAAATAGTGAATCCATGGACAATGGATCGATGGAAGAAGTAACCTAATGATGTTAGATTACAGAGACCTTCTTCTCATAACCATCATGTCCAAAAAGGTTCCTGGTCATAAGGATTGTCGGAGGGATACTGACAATCCATAGACTGGTACATACTATGTCCGCTTCAATTGGAAGGATGGAAAGTCTCATCCCATTCGTGTAGCGACACTAAGACAAGCATGTAGGTGCTCATTAAGGGAATGAGTTCACTGAACACAATCGAACGAGAGTACTTGCATGGAGGTCTACTCACATGTCAAGCAAGTAACTCTAATGGTTGGAATAATGTAAGTAATCCTTTGACCTGAGGCATCTCGTTGTCTTGTGGTTAAGTACTTAATCTTTGATTATGTTAAAGTCATTCCATTCGAGAGTGTCCAAGGCATCGTTGGGGTTAAGCCACTTAGCCATGAAGGCAAGTGAATGCGCAACAAGGAATCTCTAATCTTCGATAAGAGAGGATGAATACTCTAAGATATGATTCGGGAATCTTCGGCCGAAGTATCGAGCGTAATAAAGGAAAGCGTTCCTATACGTCTCAAATGAATCGTATAAGAAGGAATAATCACATTAGGGGTTTGACATTATAAATCCATACCCTAGTAATGTGATTGAGAGTATTGTTTTAGAGAAGGATCGAATTACATTGTAATTCCAACTGAATAGGTTCTCCGAATAACTTCTACATTAGCTTGGGTAGCCATGATATATGATTAGATGTCACTCATGGCTTGTGAGTTCTTCTAGATGATTAAATGTAGTCATTAAAAGGAAGGTGAATTAAAAGTAAGTTTTAAATCACTAAGTGATTGGATAATCAATTGGATTGGTGCCAATCACCTCACTGCCTTGCTAATTAGAACCTAAAAGATTGTTCACCGATACACTCTTGTAGTGAGTAACTAATGGATGAAGGAAATAATTAATTGGATTAATTAAGTGTTTTGATTAATTTAGAAAGTCTAAAGAAATCATAAAAGCGATAAAGATCGTTTTGGGCTTAAAGAAACGTTCGGGTTTAATCGGGCCCATTGGGCCAAAACCCATTGGGCTTTTATTCAAGCATTGGATGACTTGAAATAATTAAAAGCCCAAAGCCCAAATTAAACACAATAGGCCGGCCATATGAGAAGGGAGAGAAAGTAAGTCAATTGTTGATTTGTTTCTTTAAGAAATAAAAGGAACATAATATAATGAAAGTGTGTGTGAGTGTGTTAGGTGGTTCATAATACACAAAAGAAAATAAAATCATTCTCTCTCAAACTTAAAAAGGGCCGGCCACCAAAGGGAATTCTAGCTAATCATCTTATCACCCTTTGGTTAATTCCTTCATCTTTCTCATTACAAAGTGGGTGAGGATCTTTAGAGGTTTTCATATCTTTGGAAACTTGAAGAGGACCTAGGAGCACTCATTCTCAACAAAGTGGAGGAGGCAAGGAGGGAGGCTAGGCTCAAGGAGTTCAAGGAGCAAAGAGCTTGGAGGTGGTCAATCCTTGGTCTTAGATCTAGATCAAGAGGTACAAAACTACTCCTAAACTTTGTTCTTCAATAAATTGTTTTTGATGCATCTTATATAAACCTATGCATCTTGAAGGGGATTTGCATGACTATAGCTTTGATAAAATGTATGACATGCTTCCGTTGCTTTCGTATATAAATTTTGAATTGTATATGCATGCTAGTCACTAGAAATCCCACATAAATCTCATATTTTCCCTTCAAGTGGTATCAAGAGCCAAAGGTTTATGTATGATGTGTCC